GCAGGATGGGCCAGAACGGGAAAGGAGCAGGGGGGTGGCATTGAGCAGGCAGGCGCGACTTCGACTTCATTGGGTGCAGTAGAGGTGAAGCTGCATTGCTATCGGATCTACTCAACTCTACTGCAGCCAATGAAGCTTGGGCTTCAATGAATCCAGTAGACGTAAAGCTGCATTGAGCCAGCGGACCGGGTGAAGGTGGCAGTGAGCATGCAGGCGCGGCTTCGACTTCATTGGCTGCAATAGAGGTGAAGCTGCATTGATATCGGATCTACTCAACTCTACTGCAGCCAATGAAGCTTGGGCTTCATTGAGTCCAGTAGACGTAAAGCTGCATTGAGCCAGCGGACCGGGTGAAGGTGGCAGTGAGTAGGCAGGCGCGGCTTCGACTTCATTGGCTGCAGTAGAGGTGAAGCTGCATTGATATTGGATCTACTCAACTCTACTGCAGTCAATGAAGATTGGGCTTCATTGGCTGCTGTAGAGGTAAGGCTGCATTGTGCCAGGGGGCCGAGTGGACGTGGAGTGAGCAGGCAGGCGCGACTTGGGCTTCATTGGCTGCAGTAGAGGTAAAACTACATTGATATCTCATCTACTCGCCTGGGTGGAACAAGGGTTGTTGTAGTGATACTCTACAACACACAGACACACACACATACACACACACACACACACACACACACAAAGAGAGAGAGAGAGAGAGGTAGTTATTTTCAAGAAGTTGCCTGCTCTTCTCCCATCTCCTCCCTTGCCGAAATGGCACCCCGTCCACTTGGTGACGACCAGAAAAGGACGTCCTGGTCAATCAAGGCAAAATTGGATATCATTAAAGATTATGTGCCCGGTGTTAAGGGGAAAGGGTCTGATATCATTCGGAGGAGATATGGGGTTGACATATCCACACTGTGCCAGTGGGTTTTACAAAAAGACAAGTTGGAGGAGGCTTTGAAAAACAAGATGACAAACAGTAGAACAAAGCGGCGGCTTGCGGGTGGTGGGCGGAAACCTGCACACGAGGAGCTGGAAGAGTAGCTCGAGTAGTGGGTTTTGCAGAAGAACACAAAGGGTCTGAAAGTCAGGGATCAATACATACAGGCGGAAGCTCGATTGATTTTTAAGTTGCAAAAGGAAAAGGGCGAGGTGGAGGAGGGTGCGGTCTTCGATGGGTCAACGGGCTGGATGGCTCGATTCAAGCGCCGAAAGGGGTTTGTGTCACGACGGCACACAACTTCGGGGTCCTTGCCTTCGGATGCTGCAGACACATGCAGAGCTTTCATTGACGAAATCCACAACGTCATTGATAAGCATAACATCTGCCCGCACAACATTTTCAATATGGATCAGGTCCCGCAATACTTTGAGACGGAGCCATCATCTACAATCGCGAAGCGAGGGACACGTGAGGTGCTGATGCGTAAAGCAAACTCACACAAACGTTTCACGGTCACTTTCACCATCTCTATGGCTGGCGAAATGTTGAAGCTTCACCTTCTTTTCGCGAAGTTGAAGAACAAGCCAGCAGTGGAAGGGCATGTTGTTGTTGATGTTAACATGACGGAGATGTGGAGTACGGACACAATCATCTCATTCATCAATGACACAATAACATCAAGGAAAGAGACGACGTTTAGTCGCCAACCTGTTCTTCTGATCATCGACAGTTATGGACCTCATTTGAAGGTGGCTGAGAGTGACAGGTTGAAGGAGATGAATATCAATGTTCGTATTGTCCCTCCCAACCTGACGGGTATTCTCCAGCCTCTTGATGTTGTTGTGAATCGGTCTTTCCGGCAATCTTATGGATGTCAATATGATGAATACATCTCCAAGGCTTTGGAGGACCCATCCTTGTAGACAAAGATGGGCAATCCAGCAATCTGAAGACCCCAACGTACCAGATGGTTGCAGATTGGGTATGTCAGTGGGCAAAAACAAAGACAAAGGAGGATATCACACAGGCATTCGCAATGCGTGGCTTGGTGCGCAAGGAGGATTTTGACGTGGACAAGTTGCACGCACCGCTGAGAGCAGTGATCTCAAAGTATCTCAAAGATTTATGCTTATAGCCTGAGGTAGGGGACGGGGTAGGAAGAGGGGCGGTCTGTCTTCGGAGCCGCCCCAGAGAGGATAGGCCCTCCCCTTTGGGCCCCTGTCCCACCCCCATGGGCCTTTTGCAGGGCCTGCACAGTTAATCCCCTGGTCTTCCAGAGCAATCAATGTTGGCGGGCCCTTCGGTAGCTATGTAGCTCTGTGTGTTGAGTATGTGTTTTGCTACGGGACGCTGGACCCGGTTTCCAACAGGCAACAGGCCTGCTACAAGGAGCTGCTCTTGCCGCTTCCTTTAGCAGGCTGACGCCGGCGTTTAAAAAAAAGAAAACAAAAAAGACTGTCTCGAAGGGGAGCTCCCGAGTAGGGAATTTGCAGAGTTAGATAAAAGTGAGGCAATGCGGTGACATACCCAAGAAATGCTGAAGGAATAGTTTTTATAAGTTGAGGTAGGAGGATTTTCAGCCATAGTTGAAGTAAGATTCAGGAAGTATGCCAGAAGTTCTATGTGCATCAGCAATGCAATGAAGGATTTAAAAGACTCTTGTTCATCATGGATGATTTTTGGGGGGAATTTTTTTTTTTGCACTTCTCCATTTTTTTGCAGCAATTTGAATTTCGCATACCCTTTTCTTCCTCCTTTGTGTGGTGAGCAATCACGGATGGTTTTTACGATCTCACATGGTGAGCAAATTTGAGAAGTTATAAAAACTTATGCTTGCAAATAAAAGCAATGCTTTTTGTTTTTCCCCCTTCTCTCTTTTGCTTGCCTGAGCCGTATGGAGGTTTAACTGAGCTTTTGTAAACCAACTGCTTTCTGTTGTTCAAACCCCATGCAAGTGAACAGACACTGCAGACGAAATGGGGGTCATTGCTCAGCAGAACAGCTGCCACGACAATTCGAATACAACACCTGTGTTCTATCCGAATAGAACACCCGTTTGTTCGAATAGAACGTACGTGCGTACTATTCCAATATAACATATGTGCACACTATTTCAACGTGCATTCTATTTGGATTTCCAGGACCAACTTTGAGAAATAGACTTTTTCATGGAAAGTTGATTAGTACATACGTGCGTTTTGTTCGGGGGAAGACTGTAGTCTTTGTCTCTGAGAAAGTGGAGGCCGTAAAAACACCCCTAAAGATAAAATCAATCGTCACTCAGTATCCTGACCTTTTTTTAGGAGCCCACAAGAGTGGTTGAAAGGGAGGTGGTCCTTGCGATATAAGTTGTCCCGGTAATAAGGTACCTGGAGGACACATCTATAAAATGTCTCCTGCGGAGTTGGATGAGCTCCGCCACCAGCTCAAAGAGCTCATACAAAAGGGATGGATTTGGCCTAGTACCTCCCCTTACGGTGCGCCAGTCTTAGTTGTTCCTAAAAAGGGAGGTACACTGAGGATATGCATCGACTATAGGGGCCTCAATGCCATCACCGTTAAGAACGCGGAGCCCCTACCCCGCATCGACGACCTACTGGAAAGACTATAGGGATGCCGGTACTTCACTAAGATAGATTTGAAGTCCGGATACCATCAAATTGCTATTAGACCTGAGGACCAGCACAAAACCGCTTTTCAGACCAGGTACGGTCTGTACGAGTTTGTGGTGATGCCCTTTGGCCTATGCAATGCCCCTGGGACATTCCAGCACGCAATGAATAGTATATTTCATGAGTACTTGGACAAGTTTATCGTCGTGTACCTCCACGATATCCTTATCTTTAGTAAGAACTAGCTTAGCGCCCGCGGTGCGGGCGGTGCGGGCTACGCCCGCATAAAAAAACATGGCAAAGATCAGTCAAAGTACTCACACAGACTCAAATGCACATATAGAGCACAACAAACTCAACATGTACTGAAAGCAGGCTCAAAGTAACTCAAACAGTCTGGCAACAAAAACAGAGTTCAAGCAATCTCAGAAAAGTGTTTCGAGTCGAACTCAAGGACAGACTCAAAATAGACTGACACAAACCCAAAAAAAATGAGAAAAAAAAACAGAGAGAGAGAGAGAGAGAGAGAGAGAGAGAGAGAGGTGAAGTGCACGACATTATTGGCATTGATCGCTGTTCTTTGAGGGGATATGCTCCACAGGTACAGAGGACTTTGAGTCTTAGCACTGTTTCCGGTCTTGGATGCAGCTGTGGTGCGGCAAAACAAAAAAACTGCAGTGGAAAGGGTAATGTTGGGAGAACGCATAAATGGATGTGGACACAGATTTTTCCCCACTTCTTCATGCATCTACAAGAATCTGCGTCCACATCCATTTATTCCTTCTCCCGGAGCTGACTTTTGACTTCCAATTCAGCTATCCTACGGCTGTGATGCTCCATCTGGCTGGCAGGCTGTCGCGGGGTTTTGGGGGGGGAGGGGGAGAGAGAGAGAGACATGAGGTGCACTACATTGTTGGCGTGATGTTTGATTGATCGATGTTCTATGAGGGGATATGCTACACATGTAGAGAGGACTTTTGACTTCCACC